GCCTGGGCAAGTTATCAATAAGTATAATGTGTCCTCATACATCTTACTTGAACCTTATAAATCTAGCGGCTTGAAGTTTATATCATGGAAGGACTCTAACAACGACCAAGAAGATGACAATGGAAATGGGATGATACTTTTCTCTAGCATTGGAGACGTTCACCCCAATATCAATCTGAAGTATGTCTTCTTTCAAATTTTCTCTAACAGAGAGACTCACATTTGCGTCTGATTTATAGGTACATTAAAGGATTAGTCGTGTTCGAGAAGGACTACACGTCCAATATCGTCAACCTTTCTCGCATTGATCCATCACTTCTGGTCTCTAAGAAGACATCCGGTCAAACAAAGGGTGGGCCTCTCGTGTTCATACGGGATCGCAAGACACCTGCCTTGTGTGTTACGCTTGGAATCATCGTTGATGACCAGACCGAATCACCTCGTCAACGCGGTGACAAGGAGGTCAAATTCATCACCGCAAAGCTTCTTGCTTATGAGTATGAGCGTATGGTCGCGGTGTTGTGCATGACCTTTAAGAGGGGGTCTGTGAGAGTTCAGCTGGCAGATAGCACCCTGACCTTTGCGACACGTTCAGCTGGTAAGCATTTCCTGTCTTCAAGTCTGCATTACTTATCCAATCTACTAGAGCCAAAATCAGGCTCTTCTCCAGTCAAAGGATTTACGACGGTTCGGAGCAAAGCCACTATGTCGAATGATACCCCAAATCGGAAATTTCGATATTCATCGTCTCTGGGCCCTCATGACTTAGGTAAAAAAATAACATTGATTTTGGTTTATATTGCGGACAATCAATGCCTTTCAGTCCCCATTCTAGATGCTCGAACCAAGCATATCAAGATGCCATCTGGCCTTGGATCCATTGAAAAAGATCTTCCCCCATTCGGTCGTCAAGTCCCCACTGGTTCCATAGCCCTCATTGGATATACTGTTGGTTCCTATAACTCCAAGGCAAATCCCAACGATGTATCTTTGTCAATGAATGTGCTTTGGGTTGCAGTGCTTGCTGCTAGTGAAAACACTTTGCAAGTCTATCATTATCTTCATTCTTATTTGTGCTCAACATTGCATTTCAGGTAGCCCTACTTTTCTCAGTCTCTTTCACGATGACCCAGTGTTTCGAATGATGGAGGCTATGAAGTAGAATTTTGTGCTTGCTTTCCTTCATATCCAACTACCGTATTGCATCTATATCGTATTCAACTACTTGACCTGTCAGATACAATGTATGTTCCGGTACTCAACTGCCGTTACCTTTACATATTTGTATAGAATTTCCTGTGTTTCACCTATGATTGACTAGATAAATAGCCTGGTGTCAATTGGACTTCAAAAAACTCTGAAAGGTTATGAAGTATGTTGACCAAATAAGTCCAAATTATGACGTGCGCCAAGGATCGTCTGAACCTGCGCTGGGGTTCAGACGATCCTTGGCGCACGTCATAATTTGGTGTTGTTTGGTCATTGTAAATATATTTAATATCCAGAGTGAGCTCCTTTTTATTTCAAAACTACTCAATTATATCGCTGTGCACAACTAAACTGTAGGAAGTACAAGGTAATAACTAGCTACTTTGCATTTTTCTTAGAGTATATCCGTTTATACTTACAAAGACTATGCTCCCCAGTCAAGACATCATATGTCATGACAGACTTTTCTTCAGAAGTAAGCTCGCGATTGACAAAGGCATCGAGATCAGCAAATGCTTGAGGCACCGTCGTGTCCTCATCAATCAGCCCAAGCATGATCATAGCATCCAATGCACCCTTCCCCACCTTTTCAATGAGTTTACCCCAGTCAAGAGCAGAAGGCATGGGAAGTACATCTGCATAGACCAGATCTCCTATGATAAGAATGGCTGTTAGTGAGCCTATGTTGACAAAGACCTTCTTTGGAGTGGATTTGTTGTTGCCTTTTGCTGACTGCCAAGATCCCCTCTTTCGACTTGATGTTGACCTTCCACCGCCAGCAGATGACTGGAGCAGGAAGTCATAAATGTCAAAAATAGTCAAGTCCTTCTTATTCATCAGTGGCTCCCATAGATCCCTTTTTTCCCAGTATTCTTCAACCCAATCGATGCTTCGGTCTCCTTGAAAAGACCCATAGGCAGTCTTGACAATGAAATAGCTTTCTGCTTTGCCTTTGCTAAACGCTTTCCACTGATCCAGATCCTCGAAATGACGTCCATTGTCACGAGCAAACTCTGAGCCAAAGAAAACTCCACGGAAGCACAGAACATTCCAGAAACCAATTGGTGTCTTCAGCCATTCTGGATCATCATATATCAAATTTCGTGAAATAATACGAGTGGGAGCATGTTCTCTGTATGGCATGAATTTGTCAGGTGAATTTGCCATCTTCTTGAGAAATTTGTCAGAGCTGTTCACATGCACAGAGAGTCCCTGCTCCAAAAGGGGCAGCCCACGCCTCAGAAAGTTGACAAAAAGCATTCTTCTGTCATCTTTGGACTGGGGAAGTGATGATGTGTCCGAGTTGAATCCTTTGGTCTTGGACCGTTTCTTGGCTCCAGAACTAGTGTTTCCTGCTCTGAATTCAGAACGTGCATTGGTGAATACAAGCTGTGCCTTCTCAATGGCCTTGCGATCAATCTGACTCTCTTTTATCCACGTCATGACAGTCTCATGCAGTACCTCAAACTTCTCCGTCAACCATGAATGTGGTTTTGCCAATGGATGCTGTCGCAAAGAAGCTTCAAACTGTCTCCAAATTGGATGTTTTTCAGTTCGATTATTGCTTCCTTGATTTCTGCCCTCCAATGTAAGAAGTGGGCTTTGAAATGCAGTCCAAACAGGCTCCAGTAAAAAAATGGAGTGCCGATCAATGACCTTGTTGATAGTGGCAATGAACATCCACTGAGAAATTGCTTTGGGGGTAGTTGGAAAATGCAGCCAGGAACGAATGATGTCTGTGGCTGCAGTTGCCAGCTGCTCCTTTTGTGCATCTGTGTCATATAACACACGTCCAATTTTGTGCTGGTGAGTTACAGGCTCTTCCAGATGTGGAAGATACTTTGTCGAAGGAAAGGGTACAATCTCTGATTTGTGTAGGCCACTCAGATACAATCCCTTCAGATCTTTGACCAGCTGGTGCACCCAGCTAGGTTTGTAGTCTGCTGGGGCAGAAGTCTGATTCACTGAAGGCTCGGTATTGATTGCCTCCCAGACAATGGTTTCAACCCAAGTATAAGGTGCTGCAATGCCTGTCATATAAATTAGCCTACAGGCGTAGAGCTCAACTGTTGAAAGTTGCATGGATTTCAAGAGGATATCGTGTTTTGGCCATATTTTTGCAATGATCTGTGGATGATCTGAAGCCCATGGAGAGATGGTCAAAGATCGAATGGATTGCTCTATACTGATGGAGTTGGCTGCCACTTCAGTTTGGTTCATGCGTTCTTGTGATCGCAATGAACAAAGAGATCCCAAAAATTGGTCAGCACAGCTGTCAATTGCATTGAAGTCGATAGTGCCCAGAAATGCATCTATGGGATTGAGATGTTCTGTATTGCATTAGTATTTTTTCTCATATGAATGACTAGATGGCATTACCTGTTGGTCCATCATCTTCATTGTCTGAGTCTATCTCACTTTCTCCTTCACTATTATATATGTGCCTTTTTTCAAAGGGTTCTTCTTCATCCAAGTCCTCTTCCTCATTGAAGGGCTCTTCTTCATCCAAGTGTTCCCTGTCATTCAAGGGTTCTTTGTCATCCAAGGCCTCCTGATCAGCCCAGGTCCTTTCATCTTCTAAATCCCAGGGCTCTTCATCCTCTAACTCATCACCTGTGAAGAAAACATCAGTTGCAAGTCTACTTAAATTTACTTCAACCAACCATAATGATCAGCCAAAGAGGTGTTTGCTTTAGGAGACTCCAAATCCATCTGATGATCCTCCTGTTCATGATTTCCATCTTGACTATCTGAAAGAGCTTTTATCAGCCACCCTTCACCCTGATTTGACTGATCACACCTTCTCCTCCAGAAGAGTAATTGGTGCGTTTTCTCTTTCTGGTGCTTCGGCCGTTCTTTTCCCTGTATTCAGTGTGTTGCATCTGAGTATTTTTAGCCTCTAGCTTTCGTCGCATTACTGTCTCTAATGTTGCATCATCAATCACTGTGGTATGTTACACGTTACCCTCACATTACTTACCTTGATGAAGATGTTGATTCAATAAACTCATGCTATCAATAGTGATCCCA